AAGGGTGATAGGACTTGGTCTAGGTCGACGTTTCCACAACTGATTGGATGCACTGAGCTCTTTTCTAGATTAATATGGAGTCCCGAGAATGTGCCAAAAGCCTGTAGGATGGTTCTGACGGCTTCTACATCATCTTTTATTGGATTGATGAAAATAGCCACATCGTTTGCATACATAGAGGTTCTCCATTTTGCCGCCGTGATGGGTAAGGGGGTGAGTATCCCATGTTGGGTTGCTTGGTCAAGCAATCGTTGAAGCGGGTCCATAGCTAGGATGAAGAGCATGGGTGAAAGCGATCTCCCTGCCGGACGCCTCTGGCTTGGCTAAAAGTGGCTCCTTGCCGCCCATTAAGCAAGGCTATCTAGGTGGATGTACGGAGAAGAATAGTGATCCATTCACGCCAGCGTGGTCCGAAGCCCAGAGCCTATAGAATCACTAGCAAGTACCCCCAATTTACCATGTCAAAAGCTTTGTGGATGTCTAGTTTCATGAACAAAGCCGGTATGTTCTGCCTGTGTAGCCTTTGTACTGCTCCCTAGACATAAAGAAAATTATCATGGATACTTCTCTTTTTTATAAATGCCCTCTGGCAGTTGGAGACGAGGGAGTTCAGTCGAGGGGCAAGTCTCTTAGCTAACAATTTGGAGAAGATCTTTGCAATGCTATGGACGAGGCTGATGGGTCTAAAATCTGTAACTCTCGTTGCATCCGTTTTTTTTGGGTAGAAGGATGATGCAAGCCGAGTTTAGCCATTCAAAACCCTGGGCATTCAATGTGAATAGGCTATTCATGGCTGCCATAACATCCTCTTTAATGATTTTCCAACAAGCTTTGAAGAAGGCACCCGTGAAGCCATCCGGGCCTGGCGCTTTGTCGGAAGACATGGAATTTATAGTATTTTTTACCTCATCATGGGAGAAAGGCACCTCCAAGTTAGAGAGATCATGTTGAGTGTAGCCAAGGGATTGCCGATTGATTGTCGAAGTTCTCGGAACCATGGAGCCAATGTGATTTTTAAAATAATCTCCTATCACCTTTTCTTTTTCTTCATGAGCAACCACAATCCCCCCATCCGTATGCAGACAATGTATGTAATTCTTTCTCCGACGTGCACTGGCTCTAATGTGGAAAATTTTGGTGTTAGCATCTCCACAACGGATGTATGTGAGCCTCGATCTCTGTCGGATTCTTGATTTTTCAATGGCTGCGAGCCCCATGCTACGGGCTTTGAGGCGCCGACATAGGTCACGCTCCATGTCAGTGAGCAACCTATGTTCTTGGGCTTCTTCTAACTGTAACAATACTTCCTTCACTATGGCGAGCTGCAGCTTCGTATCCCCTATTTTATCTTTTTTCCAACGCTTGATTCCTTTTGCCACACGCGTCATTTTGATGTGCAAGCGTTTCATAGGAAGAGCAGAGGCGACCGGCCTATTCCTAATGTTTTGGACAAGATCTCGGAAGCCTTCCATCTTAGTCCAGAAATTTTTGAAGCGGAAGGACGTGTTCTGATGGTGATCAAGCTCTCCCTGCAGTAGAGCGGGGTATGGTCCGACATGAGTGATGGCAGGGAATGCAAGAAGCATGCGGGGAAGATTAGTTCCCACTCTGGGGCACATAGTAGTCTATCAATTCTAGTGAGCGTCGAGTTCTCCTGTTGATTGCTCCAAGTGAAGCGGCGTCCATTTAGCTTGATTTCTTTGAGCCGCAAATGATCGATCGTCGCCCTAAATGCCCCCATGAGGCACCGGTTTAGATTGGAGTTGTTCTTGTCTTCTGCCTGGTAGATGAGATTGAAATCCCCCAGGATGAGCCATCTATTGTGTTCCGGCGGAGGAATGTTCTTCAATTCTTGGAGGAATTGAAGTTTGGCTGCCTCTCCTTGCGGGCCGTATACCACTGTAATTTGCCACTTTATTCCATCCGCCCTCATGTTGATTTGCGCGGTTATAGTGTTCGAGGTAAGTTCAATGTCGAAGAGGTTGAAGAAGTCTTCATTCACGGCAAGGAGAATGCCTCCTCGAGTCTGTTCTGCCGGGAGCACAATATAGGAGTTAACAAATTTTGCTCCTACTGTACGTCGCACCACATTATGATCCATAACTTGCATCTTTGTTTCTTGTAGACATACAATAGTGGCACCAGTGCTTCTCACTAACTCGCTCACCGAGTCTTGTCGGGCGCCGTCATTCATGCCCCTGACGTTCCAGTTAAATATTTGGCAATTCAGCTGTGCCATAAAAAAAGCAAGGGACCCCTGTTTAAGCATAATCTATGGAGGGAGGCAAGAAGCAAGCCATCTGGGGCTGTGGTACTAGCAGGAAGAACAAAGTTAATCACACTGAGACACATGGTCATGAAAGCAGCAAATTGGAGTCGCCAATCATCTGAATGCCAGTGGTTGTCGGCACAGTGATACAATGCAAGAGTTTCTTGCATACAAAGCTGTTGCTACAACGAACTGCTAGTTGGAGGAGCCTTCCAGTCTGATGGGGAGGCGACTGTAGGCCTCTGGCTGTCGCCCCACCCAAGCAACATGACTGGAAGCTCACAAAACGAAGGTGGACTCTAGATGTGAAACTCCTGGAGTGGTGATTGTTTACTATCATTAATACATTGAGTTACCCATCGCCGTCAGCAGCTATCTAAACGTGCAGAGTGGAAAGCGATGCTGCTGCGCCGAGGCCACACAATGCAGTCAGAGTCTTCACGGCGGCGTCGGTGAGTGGTCCCTTGAATAGGCTGAAGTAGCGTAGCAAAACATCGTCGTGGCTGAGTCCTTCCTCGTCGAGGATGACAAGCCTTTTCATAAGCACCTGTCTGGCCTTCGCTTGAGTATCACCTCTGGGCCAGTTCATGGCTGCAATGCGCACGCTCCTGCATGCCGGAACCACAGCCCTCTTGCGTCGCTGTGGCGGGCTGGCTCGGCGTGATGGAACCTGCAAGATGGGTTGGGGCAGAGGGTGTGAGATCCCCTCTAGAAATCCTGACACCGCCATTGCAGTGGCAGGCATGTTGTGGACAGCATCCTGTACCTCCAGTGCTGTGCTGGCCTGCTCCGGATGTTGCTGCTAGAGTCCGTTTGCCATGCGTTGACGGAGCGAGCAGGTGGTGGCCGGTCCGCGGGCGCAACGTCTGGAGTAGACGAGTCCAGGGCGGAACCGCACCACCTGTGCGCTCCCTGCTGGTTGCGCCTGTAGCCGGTGTGTGTGTGTGTGGGGTGGGGGGTGGGGGGTGGGAGCACTTGCCGCCTGGAGTAGACATGTCCCGTGCAGAAGCGGTGTTCTACAGCAAGGTGTGAGCGCTGTTGTGTCGCGATGCCGGGGTCGCTGTCGGGGAGAACCTGCAATTCAGACGAGCATGAGAAAGGTGCAGCGGCCGTCAGCGGCTCCGACGAAGAGCTGTTCAGTGGTGCGCCGTCAGGTTGGGCGTCCGGCTTCCAGGTTGGAGAGGTTGTGGGTGGTGTAGTCATTGCCTGATCATCCAATTGACTTTGATTAGCACGCACCTTGAGAGGACTTGGCGATGGGTGATGGTTGTCGCCGTTGCCACCACTGAAGTCTCCCTAGCTATAAAGCCGGATTGCGAACATTGGTGACATTTCTGCATCTTGGGAGGACTTGGCGATGGGTGATGGTTGTCGCCGTTGACACCGTTGCAGTCTCCCTAGCTATAAAGTTGGATTGCGAACATTGGTGACATTTCTGTGTTGCTATAAAGCCGGATTGCTTTCGCAATGGTTGCACGAACTACTGGTTCGTATTAGTCTTCCCCAAGAAAAAAAATCCCAACAAATTTCAAGCCGAATTATCTGAACAATCAATCATAAAGGCTTGTAAGATTCGTCGAAATTGCATAAACTTTATGTCGCGCGTGTCACCATTTAAAATTGCTCTGCCACGCAACGCCCTATCTTTACTTTGGGTGACAAAACACCGACAGCATAGTTAGTGGATGCTTGGATTAAAACGTGGATTCATCCAAGTTAGCTGGATTCCTTAACTTCATTTATTACTTATAAAGTTTATACTGTACTAGGGATAGATTGTAATTGTTGTCAAGTGTCACCGTCAACATAAAATCCGAATCCGCCCTGGATCCGTGGAAAATGAAATTATCTTCACGTACCTCAAATATTGCGCGGATACGGATACGAATACGCCTCAAATACTTCTCTGATACATATCCACGCCGTGGTCGTATGAACGAATTACACACGTGTATTGGATCGGATACTCGTACCAGATACGTTTGGGCTAGATTGGATTTTGGATACGGCCCAAGTAGTCGAATAGATTGTAATTTGACATCCCTGCCTATCTATATATCTTCCTCCGTTCCAAATTTTATGGTTATTCCGTCCCAACTTACAAGTTGAAACTGAGAGAGTATTGGTTTAAAATATCGTGCCTGTTATCCCGGTGTCACTGTTTCCTAATAAGAATAATAAATAACGTATCCGCGGAACGTATTGTATCGTATCCAATCCTAGTATCTGTATCCGTATTCGGGCACGTAGCGCGTACCACGCACGCCGGACTAGTGTCATTGATAGGGCTGTTTCTTTTGCTGGAGGACTGCTTTACGGTCAAGTCTTTTTGCTTAGCTCAGCTGCCTAAAGCACCGTCACTGGTAGTGCTGTTTCTGTGTTTCTAACTAGGAAGGTTCTTCGCAGGAAACCATCCCAAAATCCGGCTCGCTATTACTCTCGATCATATAGCGATAATTTAGTCACGTAGACTATTCCGTGGTATATACAATATACTCTTACTCGTTCAAAGATACGTACTCTCTCCATTTCAAATTGCAAGTCGTTCTGACTTTTCTAGATACGTACATAGCTTATGCTACGTATTTAGATATACATTATGTCTACACATATGTATAGTAAAAGCTATGGTATCTAGAAAAGTCAGACTGATTTATAATTTAGAATTGAGGAAGTATATATATATCATCATCTGTCTTCCCAAAACACATCACACCCAAATAGCATAACCATGGCCGCAGTGAGAGTGAGCTCCCGTCCCTCCTTCCTCGTCTTGTCCTCATGCCTCTACTACTGCTTCTTGATGCCGGCCATCCATTTCCGTCGCGCTAGCTCGCTCTCCTTCAACTTTACCTTCACCCCACCCCAAAGCCCTGACATCCCTCGTCTGATAAACTGCACCGGCGATGCGACCATCGATGGCGAATCGCTTTGGCTGACAAGAAGCAGATACAACCAAGAAACCACAAGCAGCGCCGGCTGGGCGCAATACGTGGAAGCAGTGCCGCTATGGGACAGAGCTAGTGGCGAGATGGCCAGCTTCACCACCACCTTCCACTTCAACATAACGCCGGTTGGCAGTAGTTCGGGCGGCGACGGGCTGGCTTTCTTCCTCGCGCCTCCCGAGTCCGGTGTCGTCCCCGCCAAGAACAGCGGGGCCGCCTTGGGCCTCCTCCCCAACTCTCCCAAGTACTGGAACGATACCGCTGGGATCATCGCGGTGGAGTTTGACACCTTTCAGAATCGGGATTACTATGATATAAGCGACGACCATATCGGAATCGACGTCAACTCCCTCATCTCCAATGCATCCACCAACATCACCTCGCAAAACAATAACCTCAAGTCCAATTTCACCAAGATGGCCATCGTCAGGTACAACAATATCACCAAGTTGCTAGTCGCTGATCTCAACATCAACAACACATGGTACAACGTCAACAAAACTATCGATCTGAGCAAATACCTGCCAGAGAATGTCGCCGTGGGCTTCTCAGCGGCGACTGGCAGCTACTCCGAGCTGCACAAGATACTGTCATGGTCATTCACATCCACCCTGCAGGAGGAACCACCAGCACCGGCGCCGCCGCCGCCTCTGACACCTGACAGCATCCAGAATCCCAAGAAGAGATCTGTAGGAAACCTGATAATCGCCGTGGCCGTGCTAGTGCCTCTGCTATTTCTCTTGGCATGTGCAGCCGTGCTGGCCTTTCTTGTACGGCAGCAGAAACACAAGAGAAGAAGAAGATCGTCGGGAGGAAGAGGAATACCACCAAATGGAAGCAGCGACGACGACAACGATTACCAAGAAAAAGACGACAGCAGGGCCGAGCTCGAGAGAGGAGTGGCTGCCAGCGGCCCCCGGCGGTACGCGTACCGCGACCTGGCCACGGCCACCAACAACTTCGCGGAAGATGGCAAGCTCGGTCGCGGTGGCTTCGGTTCGGAAGCGTCTACTGGGGTAAGCTTGCCGTTGCCGGCGAAGAGCGCCCGGTGGCCATCAAGATGTTATCATCGGAGTCGTCGGCGCAGGGGAGAAAGGAGTTCGAGGCGGAGGTGAGGATCATCAGCCGGCTCAAGCATCGCAACCTCGTGCAGCTCCTAGGCTGGTGCGACAGCCGCCACGGCCTCCTGCTTGTCTACGAGCTGGTGGCCCAAGGCAGCCTCGACAGGCATCTCCACAGCAGCGACAGCGAGAGCTTTTTGAAGTGGCCAGAAAGGTAAACAACACATGTAACCATCCGTAGTTAATTATCATGCATAGATAGACAAGTAATAATAAGCGACATATATAAGTGCTAGAAGATTCATGGATAAACTCAGCACATCTGGCCCCATGGTTATCAAAGTTGTTTATATTTGGTCCTCTAATTTGTCCAGGTTTATATAAATACAGTACATCCTTCTTAAATTTTGTCTTGTTGTAATAATTTCTTGTTACCAAAATTACTCTATATGTAATCTTATCCATATGTGTTCCCCTTGCATCGCATCTCCATGTTTACTTGATATGTGTTTAGTTGAAATTTTAGCTTAAGCTATGTGTGTTTGACATCAAATATATATGCATATATATGTGACGTAAATGGTGACACTTAACAACGGTGCTATGTATTTGACTTGTAAATCGAAATGCCCATCACTTCATGCATACGTGTATGTGATTTGTAAAGTGACACGTATGCATGCATAACATAGTTCATTTTTTTCTATATTAGTAATAATGATAGAAGAGAGTAATTGAGAAGGATTATAGAAGTATTTTAAGAATTTTTCTATAATAACATGGGTTACTTTAGGTTATTTTTAGAGGTGGTTAATTTATTAGATACAAATTTACAATGTTTCTTATATTCTTTTTTCATAATAGCATAAATGGTTACTTATATATGGATGGATGATTATGATTGTTGTGAGAATATTTAGGCTAGCTTTATCTCTTTTTAGCAAGCACTGATTGATTTTTAAGGTACACATAGGTACCAGATCATCCTTGGCTTGGGATCCTCGCTGCGGTATCTCCATCAGGAGTGGGAGCAATGCGTGGTGCACGGCGACATAAAGCCCAGCAACATCATGCTGGACGAGTCGCTAGGTACCAGGCTCGGCGACTTCGGCCTTGCCCGGCTCGGCGACCACGGCGCGCGGTGGCACACCACCAGGGCCGTGATGGGCACCGCGGGATACATCGACCCGGAGTTCGTCAACACAGCCCACCCGAGCACCTACTCCGACGTCTACAGCTTCGGCATCGTCCTCCTCGAGATCGTCTCCGGCCGGTGCCCCGTGATCCTCCTGGAAGGCGGAGCCCACTTCATCCTGGTCAAGTGGGTGTGGGGTCTGTACGGCCGGAACGCGATCCTCGACGCGGCGGACGAGCGGCTGAGGGCCGGTGATGAGGTCGACGACAGGTGCATGGAGAGGGTGCTCGTCGTCGGGCTCTGGTGCGCGCACCCTGACCAGAGCGAGCGGCCGTCCATCGAGCAGGCCATGCACGTCCTACAATCAGAAGACGCCAGGCTTCCGGCGCTCACGCCGCAGATGTACAGGACGGTGTCGGAGTTTGCCGTCACTGGACGTGCTGTCGGCGCATTGTCCGTTCAGAGCTCCTCTTCCACTGCCACCGGCGGCCACTCCAAGGTCTCTTCCGAGTCAGCGTCCTCGGCCTTCCTCCAGGATTCAAAAGAGTTAGCTTGATTTTTCTCGTTTTTTTTTTCTGTTCAACTGAAAGTACCGAAACCCACTTAGAGCATCTCCGAGAGTACCCTAAATTTTGTTCCTAAAACATAGTGTTTTGCCAACTCCTAAAGAAGTATGGGAGGAAAAAAAGAGGCCATCTCCATAAGTACCCTATATTTGACTTCCAAAATATGGTCCCACACACTTTTTTCATCGGTACTTTTTTTTTCCATCGGCATTTTATTTTGTCAGCACTTTTACATTCAGTACATGAGCAGGCCATCATCCGGCAACCAGCAGACAAAAAGGCAGCAGCAGCCGGCCATCAGTATCATCTAGTAGTAGTACCAGCAGGCAAGCAGGCAGCAGCAGCCGGTCGGTAGCAACAGTAGGCAGCAGGCAAGTTGCTGCCTGCCGGCCCTCAACACAAGCTAGCAAGCGACGAAGGAACGAAAATCACAGAACACAGAATCGAAAGAGGTGCAATCCGGTTCATGAAACATCGACCCTAGGGTCGACTCGAACCTATCGTTACACAAACTCGACGTCCCACGGCCGATGACCCCACAGCCATGCTACTCAACGTCTCAACGACCCCGACGTCGCAGGAACGTAGAGACGGCGCGACGGGAGACCAAGGCGGTGGAGCGCACTGCGCCTGCGCCCTCCGTGTCCGTGATGACCAGGCGGAGGCCGGGGAGGAGGACCCGGACGCGTCGACGGTGGGTGGCACCGACGCGAGGCGGCGCAGCGGGGAGGCAGGCGAGGGCGCGTCGGTGGGGCTGCCGCAGAGAAAATCACGATCTTCTTCGAGACGGCGTCGGGGAGGCAGGCGAGGGCACGTCGGATGCACGCGAGTAGGCTGCGCGTATTTTTACTTACGATGCCGGCCTGTTTGTCAATCCCTGACAGATGAGGAAGGGCTATAGGCTCTTGAAGATAAGTTTTTCTCTCTTTTTTCTAAAAACATGAATAAGGAAGAGATATGTGGTACTCTTGGATATGCTCTAGAGGCTAACCTCCCGCGAACTACGGCCGGCAGACGCCGCCGGCATCTCTCGTTTAAAAATTGTACGCACCTGTGAATTACGGCCGGCCAGACGCCGCCGGCATCTCTCGTTTAAAAATTGTACGCACCTGTGAATTACGGCCGGCCAGACGCCGCCGGCATCTCTCGTTTAAAAATTGTACGCACCTGTGAATTACGGCCGGCATCTCTCGTTTAAAAATTGTACGCACCTGTGAATTACGGCCGGCCAGACGCCGCCGGCATCTCTCATTTTAAAATTGTACGTAGGGTTGAAAGCTTATCTCGTGAGGTTGGCTTCTACCGAGTATGGGGAAAGTTTTCGCTAAGGGCACGTTCGAGATAGTTTGACCATCGAAAAAGTGAATATGGATCTGGGATTCACCATAGTGCATTTCTACTAGTAAATTTGAGATCCACCGTAGAACCGCTTGGCTACACAACAGCTCCAGATCCACGCAAGAGCATTTTGGTTGGAATGACCTAATTTGCCCTTGGGATAGGCCCCACGTGTCAGTGTCCGAAAAAGCTTCTTCCCGGCCTTCTTCCTCCTTCGCGCGGCTTGGCGGGGCGCGGTGCGGACAACCAAGTTGAACGTCGGCCACAGCCGGGCACGGCTGGGCAAGGCCAGGCACGGCCATGGCCGAGCTTGTGGCCGGTGTGGCTGGGGCGAGCGCGTCTGGGGCTGGGGTGAGCGCGCGGCCGGCCGGTGGCGGCGTGCGACCGGTGCAGAAGCAAGGTCGCCGCGAAGCCTAGCCATTCCGGGACTTGGGCAAGCGCGCGGCCGACCGGGGGTGGCGCGAGGCCGGCCAGGGCAAGCACAACGCCAGGTCAGGGGAAGAGGAGTCGTGGAGAAGAAGAGTTAGGGAGAAGAAGAGGCGCCCGACGGAAAGAAACGCGAACAGAAATGAACTGGTATGGGAAATGGTTTGTAATCAGTGGTATGGTGGGTAATTTTCTCCAACATCACCAAACTGTGTTTGGTGGAGCACACCTTTAGGAGCTCCACTAAAATGATGAATCTGTCCTCCTAGATTCATGGTTTTGGTGAATTCAAATTTGGTGGAACTACAATGTTTGGGTAACTTTTAGTAGAGTTAAGCTATTTTTGGTGAATCTAGAGCTCATGGAGGTGTCCAAACAGACCCTAATTTTAGCTGCAGTTAATTTAAAATAATGTACGTGCGTACAAATTAGCTGCAGTTAATTTAGAATAATGTACGTGCGGGCAACGGTACAGGTTGTATGATTACATACTTTAAAGGCAAAGAGAGTATCCGTGCATACATATTTGTAATGAAATGAGTATGCTTGCATGCATACTAAAAACATAAGAGTATGTGTGCACACATATACGTTGGGAGTATGCCCATATACCGACAGACAACAGCAGCAGTAGTAGTATGCGTGCGTACATACATGTACATAGGGAGTTTTTTTTTACCTGCTCACCCGGATTTAAGTTCTCGATTTGGCACGAGTGCTCGTATTTTCTTGGATTTATTCTATGATTTAACGTCACTATACTTTCGGTGGTAGGTGACGTCCCCGTCGACAGTGAGGCGTCTGTGGTGACTTCGTGAATCTCGAGATCTGCCGGCTCGGTCCTTCGTTGGTGCTCTCGGCTGCACATGGCAACAGAACAGGGATTGACGGCTGCAGCTCACTCCCACCGCGGCCATTGTTAATTACTAGCTAGCATTTGATTTGGTTTGTAGTAGTAGCAGCATAGTACGTATACTCCAGTAGTATATATGATGATATGAGATGTACCAAACCGACAAATAATAGAGCCCATCGTTTGGCTGTTTCAATCAGTCAGACTTTTCAGTCAGTCGGTCAGACAGTATTTCTTCAAAGAAAAAGTCAGTCAGTCACAGAGACACGTACTGTACAGCGAAGCTACCAATCGGATACTCTGCCATAACCCATTCCAGACGCTGGCGTGTGTGACTGACTGGGACAACGAGCCAAGGACGACTGGGCCAGCGAACACCATCATCAAGTCTTCCCGCGTGAGCCAAACAGACTTGTTTTCTGTCCACTAGAACAATTTCGTTGCGGTTTACTCCTACTCAATAGAGGTACGGTGGTGAAAGCCTTTGGCCTTTGTGCTTGTGCTTTTGCGGAGCCTGGAATAAAATGTACACTATCTTTCTAAGAAAGTTCAAATAAAGCTATCTATATTTTGTTTTATTTGAAAAGCATCTTTCCATTAGCTTTATGGAACAGCTATAATCGCTGTCAAACAAAATCTGAACATAAGACGGCGCACGAGAGCTTCATCGAAGCTCAGTGCCTGGTCACCGCATACAGCTTCATTTTATCAACCGATGACATGATACATCAGTTGTTGTACGAAAAGAAACACACAAACCATAGTTTGCAAAACCACATTTTATTCGACGATGTAGACCTCACCTTTGTTCTTTTTATAACACAACGTAAGGCCAAATTTGGTACCATCAGTGTTTGGATCCGGGTGCCGGGTGACATCAATGGTTGAAGAGATTCTGGCGGACGGAGTGTTAGGCCCATAGATAAACTCTATCACGTAGCCCACGGCCATGTCTCCATTAAGGCCCATTGACACCACTAAGGTCGTGTTTGGAATGCAGATTTTTTTTCTATTCCTACGTTTTCTATGAAAAATGAACTGATTCATGTGAAACTCCTAGAAAATTCCCACTACAACGTGTCTCTTTATAGAAGGCGTTTTCTCAAAGTGCCTTAATTGCTTGTTGCATAAAGGCATTCTTCTAAAACTGCCTCCGAAATTTTTTTAAAGGCTAAACTAAAAAAGCCTTAAGTACCTACAGCAATTGGAGGCGTTTTTGCCAAAACACCTTAAAAGTTTATATCGATCATCGCTATACGTGAGTTGGTTTTCAGACTATGTAAGTACCTACCTATAATATTCCCCACTTTGGATTAAATTACTCGAATACAGGACATGTGGTTTTGTTCAAGTGTGATTGGGTTGACAATGTACATCAGGGTAGAAGAGTTCGAATGAATAAATTTGGAATAATACAAGTGAATTTCAACAATCTCGATGTTAGTACAACTAAATGTAAGAATCTCTTACTTTCGGTTTCTATTTTTTAAGTCAATTCTGGAAATTCAGTTACTTTCATTCAACTATGCTTCTCATAAGAATTTTTTGAACGTGACCTGATACTATGCCTTTCTGAAGGGCATATCTATGACCCTATGCTGCACCCCCTGAATCTCAAAGAACCAAGTATATATTTTCTGGAGGGCATATAAATTTTTTAGTAGGTCCTTTGGAATCACAATTCGCATTGAATGCTATTTTATTTTGTGTCAAGATAAGTACTCTGTTGAAAGTTCCATAACTCACTACAGTGAATCTGATTCTATATCCAGTTAGCAGGCAGATATAAAGTTACTGATATGTTGACATGTAAATATATGTGCCTACTTGGTTGTGGTGGAAAAGTAACTAAAACATTGTTCTTCTCGGTGGCTGTTTAGTGGATAGTGTAAATATATGGTACTGTGGCTTATGAAATACAATGGAAGCAACCTTGTGACCCATTCGGTTATGTTTGTTATATTACATAATACATGGAACTGTGCTTTTTACCTGAAGATCTTAGTTCTCGGTTATACTTCTAAAACTCTTTTGTACTAAGCACTGATACTCATTGGGACATGTTTATTTGGTTGCAAGCAGGAGCAATTGCCAAGTGAGGACAGTAGGAAGGCTGGCAATGAGGCAGCATCTGTTTAGTTGGATTTATACTTACATATGTATATAGTTGTGATGTGAACATGTTATGCTTGTTATCTTTTAAAGGGAGCAGGAAATTTGTGTCATTTAGGAATGGTAACCTAAACAACAGGACTGAGGATCATCATTCAGGAAAGAGAACCTAAACAACAGTACTGAGCTAGGATCATCATTACTTATCTATCTTATGGATATTTAGAGATGGAAACTTATGTCTGCATGAAAGATTTTAAT